TCACATGTCTCTGTGGGTGATGTCACATGTCTCTGTGGGTGATGTCACATGTCTCTGTGGAGGTGGGTGATGTCACATGTCTCTGTGGGTGATGTCACATGTCTCTGTGGAGGTGGGTGATGTCACATGTCTCTGTGGAGGTGGGTGATGTCACATGTCTCTGTGGAGGTGGGTGATGTCACATGTCTCTGTGGAGGTGGGTGATGTCACATGTCTCTGTGGGTGATGTCACATGTCTCTGTGGAGGTGGGTGATGTCACATGTCTCTGTGGGTGATGGTCACATGACAGCAGTGATGATGTCACATGTCTCTGTGGAGGTGGGTGATGTCACATGTCACAAGGGTGGGTGATGTCACATGACACCAGTGTTAATGAGGGTGGGTGATGTCACATGACAGCAGTGTTAATGAGGGTGGGTGATGTCACATGACACCAGTGTTAATGAGGGTGGGTGTGTCACATGACACCAGTGTTAATGAGGGGGGACACATGATGTCACATGACACCAGTGTTAATGAGGGTGGGTGTGATGTCACATGACACAGTGTTAATGAGGGTGGGTGATGTCACATGACACCAGTGTTAATGAGGGTGGGTGATGTCACATGACACCAGTGTTAGATGAGAGGTGGGTGATGTCACATGACACCAGTGTTAATGAGGGTGGGTGATGTCACATGACACCAGTGTTAATGAGGGTGGGTGATGTCACATGACACCAGTGTTAATGAGGGTGGGTGATGTCACATGACACCAGTGTTAATGAGGGTGGGTGATGTCACATGACACCAGTGTTAATGAGGGTGGGTGATGTCACATGACACCAGTGTTAATGAGGGTGGGTGATGTCACATGACACAGTGTTAATGAGGGTGGGTGACATGACGAGTGTTAATGAGGGGGGTTGTCACATGACACCAGTGTTAATGAGGGTGGGTGATGTCACATGACACCAGTGTTAATGAGGGTGGGTGATGTCACATGACACCAGTGTTAATGAGGGTGGGTGATGTCACATGACACCAGTGTTAATGAGGGTGGGTGATGTCACATGACAGCAGTGTTAATGAGGGAGGGTGATGTCACATGACACCAGTGTTAATGAGGGTGGGTGATGTCACATGACACCAGTGTTAATGAGGGTGGGTGATGTCACATGACACCAGTGTTAATGAGGGTGGGTGGATCTTTATGTTTCAGGTTCTGCTGTGAGAGCGTCTCCAGTTAAAGCTCTGACCGTAAACTCAGCCAGAGCTCCACCCACTCCTAAAGAACCCACCCAACACGACAGGGCCACGCCCACTCAGGACATCGAGACCACGCCCATTCATGACACAGAGGCCACGCCCACAGAGCACCTGAAGGCCACGCCCACAGAGCACCTGAAGGCCACGCCCACAGAGCACCTGAAGGCCACGCCCACAGAGAGAGAAGATGAAGAGAGTGGCGACCGGACCATCTCTGAACTCGTCTACAGGTACAGCCCCGAGAGTCCAAGTGGACTGGGACTGGCCCAGGTCTAGAGTCCAGGTAGACTGGGACTGGCCCAGGTCTAGAGTCCAGGTAAACTGGGACTGGCCCAGGTCTAGAGTCCAGGTGGACTGGGACTGGCCCAGGTCTAGAGTCCAGGTGGACTGGGACTGGCCCAGGTCTAGAGTCCAGGTGGACTGGGACTGGCCCAGGTCTAGAGTCCAGGTGGACTGGGACTGGCCCAGGTCTAGAGTCCAGGTAGACTGGGACTGACCCAGGTCTAGAGTCCAGGTGGACTGGGACTGGCCCAGGTCTAGAGTCCAGGTGGACTGGGACTGGCCCAGGTCTAGAGTCCAGGTAGACTGGGACTGACCCAGGTCTAGAGTCCAGGTAGACTGGGACTGACCCAGGTCTAGAGTCCAGGTGGACTGGGACTGGCCCAGGTCTAGAGTCCAGGTGGACTGGGACTGGCCCAGGTCTAGAGTCCAGGTGGACTGGGACTGGCCCAGGTCTAGAGTCCAGGTAGACTGGGACTGGCCCAGGTCTAGAGTCCAGGTGGACTGGGACTGGCCCAGGTCTAGAGTCCAGGTGGACTGGGACTGGCCCAGGTCTAGAGTCCAGGTAGACTGGGACTGACCCAGGTCTAGAGTCCAGGTAGACTGGGACTGACCCAGGTCTAGAGTCCAGGTAGACTGGGACTGGCCCAGGTCTAGAGTCCAGGTGGACTGGGACTGGCCCAGGTCTAGAGTCCAGGTGTTATGATGATAATGATCCTCTCTGGTCCTCAGCCCGTGTGCCAGCCTGATGTCGACACCGGTGGATGAGGGGGCGGAGTTTCTCTTTACGGCCTTCCAAAGCCCCGCCCCCCTGCTGCGGCAGCTCCACGCAGACGCTCTGCTTGAGGCGCGTATGACAGAGGCGAGCTCCAGAGATCCGGCACGTGAGGCGAGCTCTAGAGAGCAAACGGCTGAGAGTGGGCGGAGCCTGGACGAGCGTGTGCAATTGACCGACAGCAGCGAGGGGGGCGGGCTCTCGCGATCGTGCGCCTGGAGCGTGGTGCGCCTGGTGGCGGTGGTGACGGGCCTACTGCTGGTCACCGTGACGACGCTGCTGCTGCTGCTGGAGTCGGACATCGACGTCACGTTTCTGCGCGAGATCAGAGCGACGCCGGAGTTTCAACAGTTCCACCATGAGTTCTACTGCCCCCTGCGGAGATGGGTCCTGTGCAGCCTGTGGGGCTAGCTACTGATGCTACTGATGCTAATGCTACGGATGCTAATGCTACTGAGCGCCTGTACTGATGCACCTGTACTGATGCACCTGTACTGATGCACCTGTACTGATGCGCCTGTACTGATGCACCTGTACTGATGCGCCTGTACTGATGCACCTGTACTGATGCGCCTGTACTGATGCACCTGTACTGATGCACCTGTACTGATGCACCTGTACTGATGCACCTGTACTGATGCGCCTGTACTGATGCGCCTGTACTGATGCACCTGTACTGATGCGCCTGTACTGATGCACCTGTACTGATGCACCTGTACTGATGCACCTGATGCACCTGTACTGATGCGCCTGTACTGATGCACCTGTACTGATGCGCCTGTACTGATGCACCTGTACTGATGCGCCTGTACTGATGCGCCTGATGCACCTGTACTGATGCGCCTGTACTGATGCACCTGTACTGATGCACCTGTACTGATGCACCTGTACTGATGCACCTGTACTGATGCACCTGTACTGATGCACCTGTACTGATGCGCCTGTACTGATGCGCCTGTACTGATGCACCTGTACTGATGCACCTGTACTGATGCGCCTGATGCACCTGTACTGATGCGCCTGTACTGATGCACCTGTACTGATGCACCTGTACTGATGCGCCTGTACTGATGCACCTGTACTGATGCACCTGTACTGATGCGCCTGTACTGATGCACCTGTACTGATGCGCCTGTACTGATGCACCTGTACTGATGCGCCTGTACTGATGCACCTGTACTGATGCGCCTGTACTGATGCGCCTGATGCACCTGTACTGATGCACCTGTACTGATGCGCCTGTACTGATGCGCCTGTACTGATGCGCCTGATGCACCTGTACTGATGCACCTGTACTGATGCACCTGTACTGATGCACCTGTACTGATGCGCCTGTACTGATGCACCTGTACTGATGCACCTGTACTGATGCGCCTTTACTGATGCGCCTGATGCACCTGTACTGATGCACCTGTACTGATGCGCCTGATGCACCTGTACTGAAGCACCTGTACTGATGCACCTGTACTGATGCGCCTGTACTGATGCGCCTGTACTGATGCGCCTGTACTGATGCACCTGTACTGATGCACCTGTACTGATGCGCCTGATGCACCTGTACTGATGCACCTGTACTGATGCGCCTGTACTGATGCACCTGTACTGATGCACCTGTACTGATGCGCCTGATGCACCTGTACTGATGCACCTGTACTGATGCGCCTGATGCACCTGTACTGATGCGCCTGATGCACCTGTACTGATGCGCCTGATGCACCTGTACTGATGCACCTGTACTGATGCGCCTGTACTGATGCACCTGTACTGATGCACCTGTACTGATGCACCTGTACTGATGCGCCTGTACTGATGCACCTGTACTGATGCACCTGTACTGATGCACCTGTACTGATGCACCTGTACTGATGCGCCTGTACTGATGCACCTGTACTGATGCACCTGTACTGATGCGCCTGATGCACCTGTACTGATGCGCCTGATGCACCTGTACTGATGCGCCTGATGCACCTGTACTGATGCACCTGTACTGATGCGCCTGTACTGATGCACCTGTACTGATGCACCTGTACTGATGCGCCTGTACTGATGCGCCTGTACTGATGCACCTGTACTGATGCACCTGTACTGATGCACCTGTACTGATGCACCTGTACTGATGCGCCTGTACTGATGCACCTGTACTGATGCACCTGTACTGATGCACCTGTACTGATGCACCTGTACTGATGCACCTGTACTGATGCACCTGTACTGATGCACCTGTACTGATGCACCTGTACTGATGCGCCTGATGCACCTGTACTGATGCACCTGTACTGATGCACCTGTACTGATGCACCTGTACTGATGCACCTGTACTGATGCGCCTGTACTGATGCGCCTGTACTGATGCACCTGTACTGATGCACCTGTACTGATGCACCTGTACTGATGCACCTGTACTGATGCACCTGTACTGATGCACCTGTACTGATGCACCTGTACTGATGCGCCTGTACTGATGCGCCTGTACTGATGCACCTGTACTGATGCACCTGTACTGATGCACCTGTACTGATGCACCTGTACTGATGCGCCTGTACTGATGCGCCTGTACTGATGCACCTGTACTGATGCGCCTGTACTGATGCACCTGTACTGATGCACCTGATGCACCTGTACTGATGCGCCTGTACTGATGCGCCTGTACTGATGCGCCTGATGCACCTGTACTGATGCGCCTGTACTGATGCGCCTGATGCACCTGTACTGAAGCACCTGTACTGATGCACCTGTACTGATGCGCCTGTACTGATGCGCCTGTACTGATGCACCTGTACTGATGCACCTGTACTGATGCACCTGTACTGATGCACCTGTACTGATGCACCTGTACTGATGCACCTGTACTGATGCACCTGATGCACCTGTACTGATGCACCTGTACTGATGCGCCTGTACTGATGCGCCTGTACTGATGCACCTGTACTGATGCACCTGTACTGATGCGCCTGATGCACCTGTACTGATGCACCTGTACTGATGCGCCTGATGCACCTGTACTGATGCACCTGTACTGATGCGCCTGTACTGATGCGCCTGTACTGATGCACCTGTACTGATGCACCTGTACTGATGCACCTGTACTGATGCACCTGTACTGATGCGCCTGTACTGATGCACCTGTACTGATGCGCCTGTACTGATGCGCCTGTACTGATGCACCTGTACTGATGCACCTGTACTGATGCGCCTGATGCACCTGTACTGATGCACCTGTACTGATGCACCTGTACTGATGCGCCTGTACTGATGCGCCTGTACTGATGCACCTGTACTGATGCGCCTGTACTGATGCGCCTGTACTGATGCACCTGTACTGATGCACCTGTACTGATGCGCCTGATGCACCTGTACTGATGCACCTGTACTGATGCACCTGTACTGATGCACCTGTACTGATGCGCCTGTACTGATGCACCTGTACTGATGCGCCTGTACTGATGCACCTGTACTGATGCGCCTGTACTGATGCACCTGTACTGATGCACCTGTACTGATGCGCCTGTACTGATGCACCTGTACTGATGCGCCTGTACTGATGCGCCTGATGCACCTGTACTGATGCACCTGTACTGATGCACCTGTACTGATGCGCCTGTACTGATGCGCCTGATGCACCTGTACTGATGCACCTGTACTGATGCGCCTGTACTGATGCACCTGTACTGATGCGCCTGTACTGATGCACTGATTAAACTGGACTCTCAGACTTGTTTGGACTGAAGCCTGTGATTGGACCCTGATTCTGACCGGCCAGTGAGCTGTCGTCTGGGACCAGAGAGAGAGACCAGAGAGAGACCAGAGAGAGACAAGAGAGAGACCAGAGAGAGACCAGAGAGAGAGAGACCAGAGAGACCAGAGAGAGAGCGGAAAGAGAGTAGAGAGAGACCAGAGAGAGAGCGGAGAGAGACCAGAGAGAGACCAGAGAGAGAGAGACCAGTGAGAGAGAGACCAGGTGAGAGAGAGACCAGAGAGAGAGACCAGAGAGAGACCAGAGCGAGACCAGAGAGAGACCAGAGAGAGACCAGAGAGAGACCAGAGAGAGAGACCAGAGAGAGACCAGAGAGAGAGGGACAGGAGAGAGACCAGAGAGAGACCAGAGAGGCCAGAGAGAGAGAGACCAGAGAGAGAGACCAGAGAGAGACCAGAGAGAGAGACCAGAGAGAGAGACCAGAGAGAGAGACCAGAGAGAGACCAGAGAGAGAGACCAGAGAGAGAGACCAGAGAGAGACCAGAGAGAGAGACCAGAGAGTGGGACTAGAGAGAGAGACCAGAGAGAGAGACCAAAGAGAGAGACCAGAGAGAGAGACCAGAGAGTGGGACCAGAGAGAGAGACCAGAGAGAGACCAGAGAGAGACCAGAGAGAGACCAGAGAGAGAGACCAGAGAGTGGGACTAGAGAGAGAGACCAGAGAGAGAGACCAAAGAGAGAGACCAGAGAGAGAGACCAGAGAGAGACCAGAGAGAGACAAGAGAGAGACCAGAGAGAGACCAGAGAGAGAGAGACCAGAGAGACCAGAGAGAGAGCGGAAAGAGAGACCAGAGAGAGATCAGAGAGAGATACCAGAGAGAGAGCGGAGAGAGACCAGAGAGAGACCAGAGAGAGACCAGAGAGAGACCAGAGAGAGAGACCAGAGAGAGACCAGAGAGAGAGGGACAGAAGAGAGACCAGAGAGAGACCACAGAGACCAGAGAGAGACCAGAGAGAGAGACCAGAGAGAGACCAGAGAGAGACCAGAGAGAGACCAGAGAGAGACCAGAGAGAGACCAGATAGACCAGAGAGAGACCAGAGAGAGACCAGAGAGACTGGCTACCATGTGTAAACTCTGGTCCATGGAGAATGCGATCTGTTCTGGTTCAATCCAAATATCAAGAAACTGAAGCCGGAGCAAGAGGAATGTTTAGTAAATGTCAAGATGTTGTGGCGCTACTCCCCACGGGCTCCGTTAGTGGCAAAGTAGATGGCTAAGGCTAGGCTAAAGGCTAAAGCTAGGCTAAGTGCTAAACGCCTCACTCACTTGGGCTCATTACATACGTCACAGTAAACTCAGATCCAATGGTTTCCATCTGCAAAAAAACTTAACCCCTCCCACCTGATCCAGACTTTAGTACGAAATGAAATGAGTACGATGGTATGGTAAGACCAGGCTGGACGAGCGCTGACCTGGAACCCCGCAAGGCAAACAGATGACGACCGAGACCTGGAGGCAGACACCAAGAGGAACGGATAAAGGGGAAACCGGAGGACACCTACACAAGGAGAACATGCAAACTCCACACAGAGAGGTCCTGGAGGTGGAATCGAACCCATGATGAAGCACAAATGCTAACCACTGCGCCACCGCGATGCTAATGTCCCAGAGTCTGAGGTACACCGTGTTCTGCTCCACAAAGACAGAAGTCCCCATAGACCTGCCCCACAATCCTGTGTGTGTGTCTGTGTGTGTGTGTCTATGTGTGTGTGTGCGTGTGTGTGTGTCTGTGTGTGTGTGTGTGCGTGTGTGTGTGTGTGTGTGTGTGTGCGTGTGTGTGCGTCCTTGCATGTGTGGGCGTGTGTGTGTGTCGGTGTGTGTGTGTGCGTCCTTGCATGTGTGTGTGTCCTTGCATGTGTGTGTGCGTCCTTGCATATGTGTGTGTGTCCTTGCATGTGTGTGTGTTTATTCCTTTAAGTTCCCAGGATTAATAAATAACTTTCGTTGAGGGCGGGGCATAAATCATATCCACAAATCAACAAATCTGTCACTTTAACGTCAAACATGATTTCGTCACGACGTCTCACTCTCTCACAACGTCTCACTCTCTCACCACAATGTCTCACTCTCTCACAACGTCTCACTCCATCACAACGTCTCACTCTCTCACTCTCGCACAAGGCCTCACTCTCTCAAGACGTCTCACTCTCTCACCACAATGCCTCACTCTTTCACAACGTCTCACTCTCTCACGACGTCTCACTCTCTCTCTTTCACAACGTCTCACTCTCTCAAGACGTCTCACTCTCTCTCTTTCACAACGTCTCACTCTCTCAAGACGTCTCACTCTCTCTCTTTCACAACGTCTCACTCTCTCACTCAAAGACGTCTCACTCTCTCAAGACGTCTCACTCTCTCAAGACGTCTCACTCCTCTCAAGACGTCTCGCTCTCTCAAGATGTCTCACTCTCTCAAGACGTCTCACTCTCTCACAACGTCACACTCTCTTACAACGTCTCACTCTCTCACAACGTTTCACTCTCTCACAACGGCTCACTCTCTCACGGCGTCTCACTCTCTCACAACGTCACACTCTCTTACAACGTCTCACTCTCTCACGACGTTTCACTCTCTCACAACGGCTCACTCTCTCACGACAACGTCTCACTCTCTCACAACGTCTCACCACAATGTCTCACTCTCTCACCACAACGTCTCACTCTCTCACAACTCCTCACTCTCTCACAACGTCTCACTCTCTCACAACGTCTCACTCTCTCACAACGTCACACTCTCTCACAACGGCTCACTCTCTCACAACGTCTCTCTCACACCGTCTCACTCTCTCACGACGGCTCACTCTCTCACGACGTCTCACTCTTTCACACCGTCTCACTCTCTCACACCGTTACACTCTCTCACGAAGTCTCACTCTCTCACGACGTCTCACTCTCTCTCCAGGATCCTCTGGTTTTGTTCAGGGTTTGCCTCTGCTGCTCCCAGAGGCCGTAGGAGGTACTGCAGCCTCAGAGACACCTGCCCAGGACCCTCCACATTCAGCCACATTTATAAACTTTGGTCTCTGCTCCTTTTGCACCAGCGGCTCCATCGGTCTGTGTTTTTATCGTTACGTTTCCTGTTCCTGGTCTCTCTCGTGTCCCTCTGGTCTTTCTCTGGTCTCTCTCTGGTCTCTCTCTGGTCTTTCTCTGGTCTCTCTCGTGTCCCTCTGGTCTTTCTCTGGTCTCTCTCTGGTCTTTCTCTGGTCTCTCTCTGGTCTCCCTCTGATCTCTCTCACTGAGCTCTCTCAGGTCTCTCTTTGGTCTCTTTGTGACTTGGTATTGAACCATTTATAGTCCCAGTACCTTTGCTACATCAGTGTAATATAGCAGAACCAGTTATAGTCCCAGACCCAGTTATAGTCCCAGTACCTTGGTGACGGCAGGGTACCCAGCAGCCACCTCTCCGGAGCAGAAGGGTTTCTCTTCCTGGGACACCTCCACGCTGGTCGCCCATTGGTCCAGGAACCCGCTGGGCGTGTACAGACCACAGTCTCGGACTCCCGTCTCTCGCTCAAAGTCCTCACAGACGCCATCGCCGTCGTAGAAGTAGCACATGCTGGGCTCGTCTGCAACACACACAATAATAATATAATAATTATAATTATAATTATTATAATAATAGTGAATCGGTTTTATATCATGCTTTTCAGGACAATGTCATTATTCTGTCACAGTGGATTGTATGGCTGCCCTGGGGCACACTGACAGAAGCAAGGCCACCAGTCTGTGCCATCGGCCCCTCCCACCACCACCAACCATTCACACACACACCAGACTCATTCTAATGTGGGGGAAGTGTCTTCTGGTATCTCGCTCTCTCTCTGGTCTTTCTCTGCTCTCTCTGGTCTCTCTCTCTGGTCTCTCTCCCTGGTCTCTCTCTGATCTCTCTCTGTTCTCTCTCTGGTCTCTCTCTGATCTCTCTCTGATCTCTCTCTGTTCTCTCTCTCTGGTCTCTCTCTCTGGTCTCTCTCTGATCTCTCTCTGATCTCTCTCTGTTCTCTCTCTCTGGTCTCTCTCTCTGGTCTCTCTCTGGTCTCTCTCTGGTCTCTCTCTGGTCTCTCTCGTGTCCCTCTGGTCTCTCTCTGGTCTCTCTCTGGTCTCTCTCTGGTCTCTCTCTCTGTTCTCTCTCTGGTCTCTCTCTGGTGTCTCTCTCTGATCTCTCTCTGGTCTCTCTCTGTTCTCTCTCTGTTCTCTCTCTCTGGTCTCTCTCTCTCTGGTCTCTCTCTGGTCTCTCTCTCTGGTCTCTCTCTGGTCTCTCTCTCTGGTCTCTCTCTCTGGTCTCTCTCTGGTCTCTCTCTCTGGTCTCTCTCTCTGGTCTCTCTCTGGTCTCTCTCTGGTCTCTCTCTGCTCTCTCTCTGGTCTCTCTCGTGTCCCTCTGGTCTCTCTCTGGTCTCTCTCTGCTCTCTCTCTGATCTCTCTCTGGTCTCTCTCTGGTCTTTCTCTGCTCTCTCTGGTCTCTCTCTCTGGTCTCTCTCTGATCTCTCTCTGATTCTTAATCTGCGCCGCTGTAAAAACACGTTACAGCGCTTTTAAAACTCGACACTTTTGGCTTCAGTCGACTCCAAGTAACAACGAACGAAGGAAAACCAGGAAAACCATGTGAAGGAAACCAGATCCTCACTTTAGTTTCTACCGGAAAGTTTTCCAAGAGAGAGCGGAAAAACTAAACACCGGCTTCGAAATTACAACTCAGTCCAAACACGAGGAACGAGTGGAATATGTTCAGACCTGAGAGAGACCAGATTAGGATTAAGATTATCTGCAGCCTCAGTCCTGGTCTACAGCCTCACCCAGGACTGAGGCTGTAGACCCAGGACTGAGGCTGTAGACCGCTGTAGACCCAGGACTGAGGCTGTAGACCCAGGACTGAGGCTGTAGACCGCTGTAGACCCAGGACTGAGGCTGTAGACCCAGGACTGAGGCTGTAGACCGCTGTAGACCCAGGACTGAGGCTGTAGACCCAGGACTGAGGCTGTAGACCCAGGACTGAGGCTGTAGACCCAGGACTGAGGCTGTAGACCCAGGACTGAGGCTGTAGACCGCTGTAGACCCAGGACTGAGGCTGTAGACCCAGGACTGAGGCTGTAGACCGCTGTAGACCCAGGACTGAGGCTGTAGACCCGGGACTGAGGCTGTAGACCCAGGACTGAGGCTGTAGACCCGGGACTGAGGCTGTAGACCCAGGACTCACCGACACAGTTGAAGAAAGCCTCCTTCTTGCACTGAGTGGAGCAGCCGTCGCCGTTGGCAGAGTTCTGGTCGTCGCACTCTTCTCCTTTCCAACTAAAAGAACAACACAGACGTTACACTCTGAGAACCTCTGAGTCTGAGGTGAGTTCTGGACTCTCTGGACTCTCTGGGACTCTCTGGTACCTTTGGATCCGCCCGTCTCCACAGAAGGGCGCTCCGACCCGGTGCACCAGTGGCGGAGAGGGCTCGCTCTCACTCCAGCTCGAGACCGTTTGAACCTGATACGTGTACTCCACATGTGGCTTCAGGTCCCTACAGGAAGAGACAGAGTTAGTGATCAATAATCAATAATAAAGCATCGGTTTTAGACATAGAGCAGGCCTGTCCAAACTCAGGCCCGGGGGCCAGTTGCGGCCCTCAGTGTCATTGTACGTGGCCCTCTGCCTCGCTAACCTAAAGTAGTCTTTGAGATCATAACACAAGTTCACTGTGTCATCCATCCAACACCCTGCACTATGGTCTCTCTCTCTCTGGTCTCTCTCTCTGGTTTCTCTCTCTGGTCTCTCTGGTCTCTCTCTCTCTGGTCTCTCCCTCTGGTCTCTCTCTCTGGTCTCTCTCTCTGGTCTCTCTCTCTGGTCTCTCTCTCTGGTCTCTCTCTCTCTGGTCTGTCTCTCTGGTCTCTCTCTCTAGTCTCACTCTCTGGTCTCTCTCTCTGGTCTCTCTCTCTGGTCTCTCTCTGGTCTCTCTCTCTGGTCTGTCTCTCTGGTCTCTCTCTCTGGTCTCTCTCTCTGGTCTCTCTCTCTGGTCTCTCTCTCTGGTCTCTCTCTCTGGTCTCTCTCTCTGGTCTGTCTCTCTGGTCTCTCTCTCTCTGGTCTCTCTCTCTGGTCTCTCTCTCTCTGGTCTCTCTCTCTGGTCTGTCTCTCTGGTCTCTCTCTCTCTGGTCTCTCTCTCTGGTCTCTCTCTCTAGTCTCTCTCTCTGGTCTCTCTCTCTGGTCTCTCTGGTCTCTCTGGTCTCTCTCTCTGGTCTCTCTGGTCTCTCTCTCTGGTCTCTCTCTCTGGTCTCTCTGGTCTCTCTGGTCTCTCTCTCTGGTCTCTCTCTCTGGTCTCTCTCTCTGGTCTCTCTGGTCTCTCTCTCTGGTCTCTCTCTCTGGTCTCTCTCTCTGGTCTCTCTGGTCTCTCTGGTCTCTCTCTCTGGTCTCTCTGGTCTCTCTCTCTGGTCTCTCTGGTCTCTCTCTCTGGTCTCTCTGGTCTCT